CTTTAGCATCCTCAATTGTGTAAACATTATAGGTAAGGCTTGGGAGGAAGTGACTAAGAGGACCTTGAACTCTGCTTGGAAAAAACTGTGGCCAGAATGTGTAGACAAAAGGGATTTTTAAGGGTTTGAGGCTAACCCTGGGAATCCTATGCCAGTTGAGGAATCCATTGTGGCATTGGGGAAGTCCTTGGGGTTGGAGGTTAGTGGGGAGGATGTGGAAAAGTTGGTGGAGGAGGACAATGAAGAACTAACCACTGATGAGCTGCTAGATCATCTTCAGCAAGAGGCCAGACCTGAGAAAACTGCTTCGGAGGAGAGGATAGAGAAATTGAAGAAGTTGCCTACTTCAAAGATTAAGGAAATGTGGGCAAAGTGGCTTGAAGTGCAAACCTTTATGGATGAAAATCACCCTCACACAGCTATTGCAAGCCGTGCTGGTGACTATTACAATGAAAATGTTGTGAACCACTTCAGGAATGTCATAAAGGAACGGGGGGTACAGGCCTCTATGGACAGATATGTTGTGCGACAGAGGTCCAGTGACTCTGAAGCTGGTCCTAGTGGCATTAACCCTTTGACTGTCGCGGCCGTATATATACGTCTTGTTGGGTTATTGAGGCTGGGATTTTGGGTAGTTTCAAATCTAGGTTGGATAAGTACATGAGTGGGAGGGGTTGGATTTGAGTGGGACTTTCACATCAGAGCTTATTTCTTGGGTGGCATTGAAAATTGGGTTGGGCAAATGTTTTGTTAGTGGGATGAATTGTAAAGGATCTGCCTAGTATGGGCCAGCAGGCCTCCTGCAGCGTTCCTCCTTTCTTATGTTCTTATGTTCTTACGAGGTACCGTGTTTGACGTATATATACTCATAATTTCTAGCAGCTTCAAATCAAGTAGGAGAAAGCTGGTAGGCCCACATGCGAGAGAATGGGTCTGTGTGGTCAGTGTGCACCATATAAAACAAATCGTGGAGCACGCAGTGCATAATGAGAAAAAAAAAACTCCAACCGTTTTTTTTAATTAAAATGCCGAATTTGTGGTCTATTTTCGTATAGTATTTATTGTTGTATTCTCGTTTTCTTGGTCTCATTTGATAGAATGGAAAACATATTATAGAAATAGAGGTGATTTTGATTGATTTTACTATAAAAAGAACCTAGAAATGGAGCTCAAAGTAGGGGAAATGTTTGATTTTTACCAATGTTCAAAAGTAAACAAATGATGCCATTGTCCAATAAATGTCCAACTAGCCATTCTAATATGCAGTCATAAATGGGTTGATGTTATTTATACAATTATTACAGTATTGCAGTAGTCTGCATAACAGTAAATCTTGTATTTTTTGTTTGAATAAAAATTCAAAATAGAAAGCAAGAGTAATATCAGAGGGGCCTGGAGACATGACTGATGAACAAAGAAAATGTTATTTTAGAGCCAGGAATGTCTGCATTGTTCATTCTGGACCTTATTTTGAAATTGTCATATTTTTTAGTTTTCGTGAAATTGGCCAAATTGCAAAATTCTGACCACATTATTAGGTAGTTGAAATCGGTAAATGGGCAGTTTCTTGTACTCAATCGATAGAAAAAATGGAGTTCTAAAGAAATAGCTATGAGTTTGGGCGACTGGAACAATGGAATTAGCCAAAAATAGGGCTCAAAGTGGGCGAAATCGCCGATTTGTAAACAGCGCCAAGGTCGCTAACTTCGCGAGAGCATAATTCCATCAGTTTTCCATCAAATTTCGTTTTTTTGGTGTCATTACAATCGGGAAAAGATTCTCTATCATTTCGTAAGAAAAAATAATTTTTTTTTTTTAAATTTTGCGACACCAGGAGACACCTCAGGATTGGGGGTTGCGACAGTCAAAGGGTTAAAAGAAGAAGGGAAGTAACCCTAGAAAAGGACTTGCCACCTCAAGTCCTAATGGAAGGGGATTCCCCTTCTAAACATTAACACCATCCACAGTCTCCCCTCCTCCCATCCCATCAATCATCACCAGATATTCAATAAAGGTAAGTGTCATGTAACTGTGCATGTCTTCTTCAGTTTGTGTGTATTAAAATTAATATTTCATGTGGTAAAAATTTTTTTTTGTCCATGCTTTGGGGTGTCACGAACGGATTAATTTGATTTCCATTATTTCTTATGGGGAAAATTAATTCGGCTAACGATAATTTCACCTTACGTTGAGCTCTCAGGAACAGATTAATAGCGTTAGGCAAGGGTCCACTGTAGTACTTATTTGTAGGAAGTCAGGTGTAGGTAGCCCTGGCTCCCCATCTCATACTTAATATACGATATTTAAAACAGCCCAGGGAGTTAAAATACACATACAGTACACTCATTATTTGCCTTTAAATATGTGTAGTCTTAATGTAGGAAGAGAGATGAGTAGTATTTATTTGTAGGAAGTCAGTGTAGGTAGCCGGTAGGTGTAGCCCACCTTAGCTACACCTACCGGCTACTTACACTGTGGCCCAGAGCCATATTATTAGCATCGACATACCTTGTTCACTGAATTTAATCATTTCTAAGAACTACCTTTAGATGCCATCATAAACGAAGAGAGAAGTAATAAATAATTCATGCCGAAAATTGTAAACAAAAGCGGAGTGGGGGAGTGGCTGGGCCAAATGCAGATTCATACACGTTTTCTATGGTGCCTGACCAGAGAAGACGTAATGTCCCTCCTCCCGGCTACCACACAGGTCCACAAGTATTATTATCAGAGCACATATAAAATATGCAATAAATGCCAGACAACAAGTTTACACTAACTTATATTAAGTTAGCAATAGAAATAGGTATTAAAAGCACAATAAAAGGTAAGATACACGCAGAGTACACTTATTACTTACCTTAAAATATTAATATTAATGTGTGAGAGGTGAGTGGCAGGGTGTTTATTGAATAAATTCAGAATGACACACCATCATCCTCTAACTTGACACTTAACCCTTTCAGGGTTCGTGCTATACTAGTATGGCTTGCATGCCAGGGTTGGTGCCATACTAGTATGCATAAATTCTAGCACCTTCAAATCTAGCGAGAGACAGCTGGAAGGCCTCCATATGAAAGAATGGGTCTATGTGGTCATTGTGCACAGTATAAAAAAAATCCTGCAGCACACAGTGCATAATGCGAAAAAAAACTTTGACCTTGTTTTTGCTTTAAAACAGCGACTTTGCAGTATATTTTTGTATGCTATTTATGGTTGTATTCTATTTTTTCTGGTCTCATTTTATAGAATGGAAGACTTATTACAGAAATTGAGATGATTTTGATTGGTTTCACAATGAAAAGTAGCTTGAAATTGAGCTCAAAGTAGCAGAAATGTTCGATCTTTGCTGAAGTTCAAAAGTAAACAAATCATGCCATGCGTCCAATACACATCAACTGGTGAGTCTAATATTCTTTCACAAGTGCACTGATATTATTTATACAATTTCAACACTAATGCAGTATTCTGCATAACAGTAAATCTATTGTGAGAATAAAAATTCAAGGTGGAACCAAAAGAAATACAAAAGAGGCCTGGAGACATGACAAATGAACAGAAAAAAATTTATTTTAGTGCCAGGAATGTCTATCTTGTTTATTCTGGACCCTATTTGGAAATTAACATCTTTTGAAATTTGTGTGAAATTGGCAAAATTGCTAATTTCTGACCACTTTATTGGATAGTTCAAATCAGTAAATGGGTGGTTTCTTGTACTCATTCGATAGAAAAAATGGAGTTCTAGCAAAATAGTTATGATTTTTGTCGACTGGTAGATTGGATTTGGCCGAAAATAGGGCTCAAAGTGGGCGAAATCGCCGATGCGTAACCATCATCGAGACCACTAACTTCGCAAGATCATAATTCTGTAAGTTTTCCATCAAATTTCATACTTTTGGTGTCATTATGACTGGGAAAAGATTCTCTATCATTTCGTAAGAAAAAATAATTTTTTTTTTTCTAAAAAATTTTCGACCCTGAGAACATGTTTAGGAGAGGGCCTGCCGACCCTGAAAGGGTTAAAGCAAGAGGCTTACGACTCCTCTTTTTATCACAGCTAAGCTTAGATGCCATCGTCAATAAGAGCCAACTAGTTAACGAAAGTGTAAGCGAGAGAGAGAACGAGATACAGAGTTCAGACAATGTAAAAACACAAACTGAACAGGTAGTGAGTGATTACTTTGTCAGGTGAAATAAATGCGTATTAATATGTGTCTACTTTTAGTTCATTCACATACGTTTGTAAGAGTTTGTAAAACTTTTACCTGTAAATAATGAAACTTGTTAATAAAACCTCTATAACATTGTTGTATGTTTTAATGAAATATTCATTAAAACATACATATAATTACAATTAAGTATTCCCATAAATTATTGCAAGTAATTTCTTTCCAATATGCAGACCATGCACACATCCTATCTGATATTTTTTTTTTTTTTTTGAACCGGCCGCATCCTAGCATGGCAGGGTAACCTAAACAAAAAAAAAAAGAAAGTTTTTCTTTTTAAATTTAGTAATTTATACAGGAGAAGGAATTACTAGCCCCTTGCTCCTGGCATTTTAGTCACCTCTTGAGACACTCATGGCTTACAGAGAAAGAATCCTTTTCCACTTCCCCATGGAGATAAGAGGAGATGATGAAGAACAAGAAGTATTTAGAAAATAGAAGAAAACCCAGATGTGTGTGAGAAATATATATGCATGTATGTGCATGTGTATTGTGGCTTAAGTGTAAGTAGAAGTAGCAGGATATACCCATTACCCCACATGTTTATGAGACAGAAAAAAGTCACCAGTAATCCTGCCATCATATAAAACAATTACAGGTTTCCATTTCACACTGAAATGGCTGGATTGTAATACGTCCCTTGGTGGTTACTGTCTATCAACCTACTACCTATGTAATTCTAGTTATCTGATAATTTTTTTGAATCATTCGTTATTTTATAGAAATAACTGAGTTATTTTATTGAATTACATTGTTTGAATCTGTTTCCAGGGACTGGCAAGACACTAATGGCCCGTCAGATAGGAAAGATGCTCAACGCTCGAGAACCTAAAATTGTTAATGGTCCTGAGATATTAGACAAGTATGTGGGAGAGTCAGAGGCCAATATTCGTCGCTTGTTCGCTGAGGCAGAAGAAGAAGAAAAAAAGATGGGTCCTAATTCTGGTTTGCACATTATCATTTTTGATGAGATAGATGCAATCTGTAAACAAAGAGGTTCTGTAGCTGGCAATACTGGTGTGAATGACACAGTTGTTAACCAGCTGTTATCTAAGATTGATGGAGTGGAACAGTTGAACAATATCTTGGTGATTGGCATGACTAACAGGAAAGATATGATGGATGAAGCGTTGCTTAGACCCGGCAGACTAGAAATTCAAGTAGAGATTGGCCTTCCAGATGAAAAAGGTCGTTTTGACATTCTCAAAATTAAAACATCAAAAATGAAAGAGAATAACAAACTTGACCAGGATGTAGATCTTGAAGAAATTGCATCTCTTACCAAGAACTTTTCTGGTGCTGAACTTGAGGGCCTTGTGAAAGCAGCTTCTTCATCTGCACTGAAGAGATATATTCACTTAGGAAATAAAATTGAAGTTGATCCTGATGCAATTGACAAGCTTAAGGTAACAAGAAGTGATTTTATTTATTCTCTTGAAAATGATATAAAGCCATCACTAGGTATGAATGATGAAGCACTCTCCAAGTTTATCGAGAGAGGAATTATTAACTGGGGACCGACTAGAGAGTTGGTTGAAAAGGGATTGATGTTTGTCAAGCAAGCACGCTCCCCAGAAACAAGCAGTCGTCTCTGTTTATTGCTTGAGGGAGCACCAACAGCAGGAACATCAGCACTAGCAGCGTACTTAGCAAAGAACTCTGATTTTCCCTTCATCAAAGTTATTAATTCTCGTGAAATGGTTGGATTTATGGAATCTTCCAAGTGTTTCCGTATTAATAAGATATTTGATGACGCTTATCGCTCAGAACTGAGCTGCATTTTCATGAATGATCTGGAGCACTTGATGGGCTACTCTCCCATTGGTCCCCGCTACCAGTCCCTGGTTCTTGACGCTATGTATTCTCTTCTGTCCTCATCACCGCCATCAGGCCGGAAACTCCTAGTCATTTGTACGACAAAGCGAAGGTCTGTTTTAGCAGAGTTGGGTCTTCTCTCAGCCTTCACTGCTGTTATAAGAGTTCCATATATTGCACACCAAAAGGATATCAGACTTGTTCTGGAGGAGTCACAGGCTTTATCTCCTGAAGAGGTATGTTCATTAGCTCACTCATTGTTATGACATAGTTTTAGAGTATGTCAAACTACTTTGTTAGTAGCTCATAATATTAGACAAAACATGAAATCAATCAATCCTAGTTAGGTGTCTCCTTGTAAATTTATTTCCTACATATTTTCATTTTATGTTAACAATTCCTCAATAGAGTCACTTAACACTTAAGGTGGTTATGACATGTTATTCCTTGGGTAATCAACTAGTTTGCCTCAGTCATCTAGGAAAATGCTACCGTAGGAATTAGAGCAGCCTTGATGCAGTTGATTATTGCTCATCCGCTTGCCATTCTTTTTGAAAGCCTATTTGTAAAGTACATTCTGCTGTCATGGATAGCTGGATTTAGTAGGATAAGCATTTAGATTGGCTTTCTATTCTGTCATCTGTAAATAAAAATCCTCTGTAAATTAACATTTCTTCATTCATTAAACTATTTCTTGAGTGAGCATTTGATTTTGATTTATTTATTTATAAAGTAAATTTTTAAATTTGTAAATCATGTATGGAAAACTAAGAAAGGTTTTCAAGTTGTTTCATAACAGCCTAAAAAAAAAGTAAGGTTCCTCAGTCTGTTCCTTGCCAGGTAGCCTTGCATCTTTTAAATGTCCTTGGAAAACAATGTCCTTTAACTTCTGAAAAAAAAAAAGTCCTTGAAATGTCCTTGATATTTCATTCATTTGTAGCAGTTCATAATGAACATTGTATAACCAGCATACATCCCTAGATAGGAAAGAAGCCTGGCAGAGTACTCTGCAGCTTAAACAGTGCTAGAGCACATATGTTTCTCATTGTTTTAGCTACACAACATTGAAATAATTAACTTGGATTAGTGTATTTAATCATATCTCCTCCAAAATGAACCGAGTGTTTCAAATTTGAATGACTACACCTTAAGAAAATATAATGCTCTTACTTATTGTAAAATGTGTTGACTAGACATTTACTTAAGTAGTATAAGACTAGGTGCTATTAAAAGTCAGCATACAGGTAAGAAGAACTTGCTTCCCTAGAGGCTGCTTCAATCGGTGAAAGTAGTTGAAGGTCTCGCCCACTGCAGCAAGCAGCTGAAGACATGCACTCTCTCTTCCAGTCACTTTCAATAATGTTACATCTTGGTGTTTTTAGGACATCGGCTGTTCCCTACTGAGGCAGCATGACCCAAAAAGAAAGAAAAACTCAAAAAGATAGAAGTATCTTTAGTCATCATTCAGCACTTTTACCATCGAGTTATGTAAACAAACGTTGTTGTTGTTACCAGCCCGGACACGAATGATTCGTGTTCACTCTGTCAAGCCAACCAGAAAAACATCTCATATTTGTTAATTTATATGTTTATATGTTATGTAGCATGTTTATTATATAATTTTGAAAAAGAAATCATAGATGGGTTAAGCAAAATGTCTATATCAACGTTTTATACACATTTAATGCGCCTCATTGATTATTATTGTGTTATTATCATTATTAATATGGCATCTTCAAGACCAATTACACTCTTAATGAGTGGCTCTGAGACAGACAAGCAGACAGAAAGACAGACAGACACAGGTAGACAGACAGACACACAGGTAGACAGACAGACACACAGGTAGACAGGAAGACACACACAGATAGACAAAGACACAGACAGAAAGACAGACACACAGGTAGACAGATAAACAGACACACAGAGATACACAGATATATAGGCAGACAGATACAGACAAGTTTATGTGCAACAGTGAAAACAAATAGAGTTTGAGTGTAAGAGCCTTTCTTGCCACAGATTTCGTTTTAGGGGC